GAAAGAAATTCAAAGGTAGATTTAAAGGGTGGGGTTTTTTCCATATGGAAAAAATGAAAGGTGTTTTGAAAGGTGAATTTCGAGATATTTCTTCCATAGGGAAAAAAAATACTTAATGGGATTTTGAAAGGTAAATTTAAAGGTGGGGTTTTTTCCATGTGGAAAACAAACTCCCAGCAGATGGGCTGGAGTGGAGGGAAACCGCGCGGGCAGGTGCTTAGCTCAGGGCTGCTGGATGCAAATCCCGGTTTTTCAGCCCAAAGAGCAGGCAGGAGGTCCCGAGATTCCCCCTTTCCCCCCCCTGCTCCGTGTCTGAGCGCCGGGAGCAGCTTAATTTTTCTATCTGGTTAAAGCATTAGAGGATTTGGAACGTCGAGGTGGCCAAAGCTGGAGCTGATGCCAAAGGGATCTGCGACCGCAGCTCCAGCACCGGCTCTCCCGGCCGGTTTTAGGGGCACATTTGTCCTGGAGGAGGAATTTAGGGGGAAATTCTGCAAGAAAAAGGGGATTTGGGGGATGAGATGTGGATCCATCCTCCTCTTCCTGATGTGCAGGAGTGGGAATGGTGGAGCTGCAATCTCTGATCGCTGGGATTTAAGGAGGCGGCCTCAGAGCACTCGTAACAGTCGTTATTAGGTTTCAGAGAACACACCCTGGTCAGAGCAGAGGGAGCCCGGCCTGTGCAGGCACTGAGGGCTTTGGGATACATGGAGATTGGGATACAACCAGGAACCTCCCGACGGTGCCGGAGCTGCTTTTCCCACTCTGGAGCCTGGGTTTTCTGAGGGACCTCCAGCATCCTTTGGCCTCTGTCCCTTTTTTGTGCCCCAAAAGCTGTGGTGATGGAGGAGACGGGATGAAAACCTGTATTTTTCCTGCTTTTGGGGATGAGTGGAGGTTTAGGAGCTCTGGTGTCATTTAATGATGGCATCTGCATCATTAATGAATCATTATTATTATTATTAGTAGTAGTAGTATTACTTTATTATTAGATTATCCATATTATTAAATTATCCATATTATTTTTACATTATCCTTATAACTAGTATCATTACTCTTATAAAACATAATTATATCCACAGTCATTATACAATATATATTAGAGATGATCTCTTTTATTCTATAATTTACAAGATAATTATTAATTATTCCATCTTTTCAACTAGATCATCTACATTTAATATAATATATTTGTAAGGATAAAGGAGCCAAGC